GAGTGCAGAACAGCGTTTGAAATCGTTGGCAAGGAGATTGCAAAGAGATCAAGCAATGTATGTGAAATACAAACAGGGCATAGAGGATCTCCTCAGGAAAGGCTATGCAGAGGAAGTTAGTGAGGAGACTAGGCAACCCAAGGACACCCCTGTTTGGTATTTGCCCCACCATCCAGTCTTGAATCCCCAAAAACCAGACAAGATGCGAATCGTGTTCGATTGTGCGGCCAAGCACCAAGGGGTATCTTTGAATGATGCAGTGTTACAGGGGCCGGACCTTATCAACAATTTGATGGGAGTTTTGCTTAGATTCCGCCAGCAACCAGTAGCACTCATGTCAGATATAGAGGCAATGTTTCACCAAGTGAGGGTACCTCCAGAAGATCGAGACGTGTTGAGATTCTTGTGGTGGAAGGACGGAGACTTCAACAAGGAACCGCTGGTCTACCGGATGTGCGTCCACCTCTTCGGAGGTACGTGGAGCCCAAGTGTGTGCAGCCATGCACTTCGTCAGACAGCAAGACACGGTGATGGTAATGGTAAAGTGGAAGCATCTAAGGCCATTCTCGAGAACTTCTATGTGGACGACTGCCTGGTGTCAGTTGAGAATGAAGAAACAGCGGGGAAACTTGCTGCGGACTTGATGGTCTTGCTCAGTGAAGGAGGCTTCAGATTAACCAAATGGGTCAGTAACAACCCATTTGTCCTGCAATCCATACCAGAAGAAGAGAGAGCTAAAGATGTGAGGGGTCTGGATCTCAATCATGATGCTCTTCCAGTCGAGAGAGCACTTGGAATCAGCTGGGATGTAGAAACTGATTGTTTGCTGTACAAACTTAGACCCAAGGACAAACCCCAAACCAGGAGGGGTATCTTGAGTGTTGTATCTTCCATCTACGACCCTCTCGGTTACGCCAGTCCTTTCATCCTAAAGGCTAAGATGATCTTGCAGGAACTAACCAGACTTAAACTTGCATGGGATGAGGAGATTCCAAGCAAGGAAATAGAGAGATGGAATGAATGGTTACAGGAACTACCCAAGATGACTGAATTCCAGGTCAACAGATGCATCAAACCACATGACTTTGGCAAGGTAGCAGAGTATAAGCTACATCACTTTGCAGATGCTTCAGAGAAAGCCTATGGAGTCGTTTCCTACCTGCGGATGAAGGATGTTGAGGGTCAGGTGCACTGCAGCATACTATTTGCAAGGTCACGTCTTGCACCCCTGAAGAGGATGACAATCCCACGGCTTGAACTGATGGCGGCTACACTCTCTGTCACTATAGACAGTATGATACAACGGGAACTGGATCTGCCGCTCCAAGAGTCAGTGTTTTGGACTGACAGTTCAATAGTACTTCATTATGTGAAGAATGAGGATAAACGTTTCCATACGTTTGTAGCAAACAGAATTACAACCATTCATGAGGGATCTGAACCAAGGCAGTGGCGACATGTTAACACTGATGTCAATCCAGCCGATGATGCCTCGCGTGGACTGACAGCTGAGGAATTGACTGGACGATGGAAAGAAGGGCCAAAATTTTTGTGGTCAGAAGAATGCGATTGGCCTAAAAGCTTGACAGTGAATGAGTCTAGCTTAGAGCATGACCCAGAGGTAAAGCAAGACAAGACTGGAGTGTTTGCTGCAGCCGAATCTGAAGTCAAGGCGACAGATAGACTCCTTGAAAGTTACTCGTCCTGGTTCCGGCTGAAGAAAGGTATTGCATGGATCCTGAAGGTCAAGGAGTGCTTGAGAAGAAAGGCACGCAAGGATATGAATTTACTGGATATGAAGCAGCCAGTAACAGTTGATGAGATGACTGTAGCTGAAGAAGCAATTGTCAGATACGTTCAGCAACAGACCTATGCTGAGGAGTACAGAGTCTTACAGCAAAATAAGACTACACAACGGTCACCCACTCGAATAGCAAAATCCAGCCCACTATCTAAATTGAGCGTGAAACTCACAGACGAAGGATTGATATGTGTTGGAGGAAGACTACACAATGCACCACTAGAAGAGCAGACAAAACACCCAGTGATTTTGCCTTCCAAGCATCATGTAGTACAGCTTTTGGTGAGACATTACCACATTATGTGTGGTCACTCAGGGAAGGAGTATGTGCTATCCCTACTCAGACAACGATTTTGGATAATCAGAGGGAGGTTAGCAGTTCGTCATGTACTACACAAGTGTTTCACATGTAAACGTCAACGTGCAAAACCAGTGGAACAGAAGATGGCAGATTTGCCGGCAGATAGAGTGGTACCAGAAAAACCTCCATTCAGTAACGTGGGAGTTGACTGCTTTGGCCCATACATGGTGAGACAAGGAAGGAGCTCTGTGAAGAGATATGGATGTATATTCACTTGTCTGGTTATAAGAGCAATACACATAGAGGTACTGCATTCATTGGAGACGGATTCATTTCTGAATGCCCTTCACAGATTTATTTCACGCAGAGGACAACCAGAGATTATCAGATCCGACAATGGTACAAATTTCATAGGTGCTGAACGTGAACTGAGGGAGGGATTGAAACGATGGAACCAGGAGAAGATCCACGATAATCTCCTTCAACAAGGAATTGATTGGAAATTCAATCCACCGAGAGCATCCCATATGGGTGGATCATGGGAAAGACAAATCAGAACTACGAGAAAGGTCTTGAATGCAGTCATGAAGCAGCAGGTTCTGAATGATGAGGGCTTAACGACTCTTATGTGTCTAGTAGAGGCAATTATCAATGGGCGTCCACTCACCATAACATCTGATGACGCAAGGGATGCAGAGCCTCTCACACCAAATCATCTGCTGCTCCTGAGGTCAAAAAATGCTCTACCACCTGATGTGTTCCAGAAACATGATCTGTATGGACGTCGACGCTGGCGGCAGATTCAATACCTGGCAGACTTATTTTGGCGCAGGTGGGTGAAGGAATACCTACCTTCCTTACAACAGCGGCAGAAGTGGCTGAAAGAGACGAGAAATCTGGAGGAAGGTGACATCGTGCTGATTATCGACAATCTGCCGAGGAACAAGTGGTTGACGGGAAGAGTAATCGAAACCTATCCTGGGAAGGACAAGCTCGTCCGATCGGTGAAGCTGAAACATAGCACCGGTATCCTAGTCAGGCCTGTGCAGAAACTATGTCTTTTGGAAGAAGCAGATAGCGTATTGGTGAACCACAGCGACTAATTGGAGCATTCATTTCTTATGTGAGATAATTACATTGATGCACGGTGAATTAAACGTGCGAGGTGAGAGCCTAGCGCCGCCTCTTGTGAATTTTTGTGTCGCAATTTTCCTGATCCGTGACGAGCGTAAGATCCTGATCATCATGTTTCAGTTTTGGAAGAAGCAAAGAGCGTAAATTGGTGAACCGTGGAGAGCGATCTCAATTTAAATGGATCCACAGCGAAGAACGACTAAATTGGAGCATTAGTTTCTTATGTGAGATAATTATATTTGATGCACGATGAATTAAACGTGCGAGGTGAGAGCCTAGCGCCGCCTCTTGTGAATTTTTTATGTCGCGATTATCCTGATCCGTGACAAGCGAAAGATCCTGATCATCATATTCAAGTTAGACTGACGTCGACGCAAGACAGAACTCGTTTACAGCAACAAACTTGTTTAAGCGCAAGAAATTGATAAAAACAGTCCTCAGACTTTATACAAGACTATTTGCGGTAACATTGTGCCCTTGAGGTAAATCGGGCACGTTATATTTGAGGACAGTGAACTCTACTCTTGAAGAGTAATAAACATTTCAGCCTTGTTATAGACTATGTCATATTATGTTTATTAGTCAATACTTGAAGAAAGACTATAATGGACTTCAGAATACATGTATTCATTTCAGTATTGAACTGAGACTATTGCTGAAAGATTTTTTTGTTCGAACGATATTCATACGTAATTTCTTACATGTTTTTTCCTAAGAGCAGGAGTTAAATATTTGACCACTACAAATGAGAATCATTTGTCATGATAACATGTTATTTGGTCAATGCATGAGCATACAAATATGTAGTGTCTAGTTCAAGTTGAAACTTTAAAGAACCGAATTGTGTTGATATTTGATGCATAGACCCAAAAGAGGATATTTGATATGAAGGGGATAGTTGAACTAAAGTTTTGTATACCGGAAGTAAATTGACAATTTACTCAAGATTGCGAATGATGAGAAAGTTTAATCACAGAAGCACCATTTTCTGAATTTGAAAATCATTTTTTGTGTGTAACCCTGTTGTACTTAGTGGTGGGCTACTGAAATTTGCTTGAAAACTCACAAAAAAGGGGGTTTAGTTTCAAGAATCGAGTACTGAAATACACAGTTCTGAGTAGTTAGCAGCTCTAGTGCATAGAGGTACATGTAGAATCATTATGTTTGAGCTGATATATTTCGTATTTTCCTTTGGTAATTCACTAGATAACTCAAAGTGTGTAAGGAATGTCAAGGACTTTAACAATCCTTGTTATTGTTATTTGCTACAGAGTGTCAACAATTGTGTTGAGATTTAGTTAATGTGTACTCTATTAAGGCAACTGATCGTTTTGCCCAATGTTACTTTAATTGACCTGTCGGTATACATTTTTAGACGACAAGTGTTTGTTGTGTATAGGCTATAAATTCACCCTAAAGGCATTTACTGTAATGTACTACATTGTGTAAATGAAATTAATGGAATGTGCTATGCAGAGTTGAGTGTAAATTCTGAATGTTTAGTTGTGTTTTATTAACAGAAAAGTTAGACAATTTGAATGGAAGTTGAAGTTATTTGGATAAATGCTTTGCTGTGGCTACGCATTTAAGGGGCCGGGATGTAAGATTTAGAAAGTTTTCTGTCATGACGTCGGTTCAGATTAACCATAATTTCATTTGGTCGTAAGAGGGCGTTTGTAGTTCGCCAGCCTAAAAGTCACGAAATTTGAAATGTTTTGTGGACAGTGATTCCATCAGTAATCCCCGACAATCGAGACAAGCCCAATGTTGTAAGTACTATAAAGCTGTTATTTGTATAAATCAATCTTTAATTGTTTGTATGAGGCCAAAAATGGCACAAGATATAAATCTAGTTTTCTGTAATTTTAAGATGAAAAGTACGTTAAAATGTTGTCTGTGCATGTAGCACCACATATAGACAAACGTAGGATAACGTGTGTGAATGCACAATTTGTGCATATATCAGTTTGTGTTGAGGATAATCTAGATTTGTGTGTAATGAGTGATGATAATTGACATGAAACAAGAGTATGAATTGTTTTCCTTGGTTATAAAGAATGTCAAGGGTGTAGAAGCAAATAGGAATTTAATTCAGGAACCAAGTAAAGAGTGTAAGATAGAGGCAGGAAATAAGGCTGGTCGAGGGTTTATTTGTGTATGACGTTAACCTACAAGATAGAGAGGTATGATTTGTAAGGGTTATATTTGTAAACAAAGGTAGAATTTGAGACAGTTCATTAGAATAAGATAAATGAGGCAGTTATACAGTTTGTGTTTGCACAAGTGAGCTTTACTCACATAGTTTATTCTTGAAGGTTTTCTTTACTCAGTTATACATATTAAGGTCATTTATGGCAAGCTAGTTGTGCGATACAATAGATGTTTGTTTATTCATGTGAATTTGTACACATGCTTATGATTGCTTGTTTGTTTTATTGATATTACAGATGAACTGCATTTTATGCACGTATCTCAACTTGGATGTCGTCGTCCTTTCTTTAAGCCTACTGTTGGGGTCACTTCAGCAGAATTTAACGTCACAGTGAGCCCCAGGATAAAAACCGTGTCGATGTGCTATATTAGCGCCCTTTTATGAGGCATTAATCCCCATTACTGTCAGTTATGACTTAAGGAGGTAGGTCCCCTAGTTGATTAACATAGTAGCACACACATGCGTTAGCAGTCACGCAAAACAAACACTCCCCAGTTGTCATTAAATAAAATCTGAGAATGTATACTATTATCTAAATCTATAAGGAATAAATCATTGTCAAAATCATTCAATAAATTGGGGTAAAAATAATTATTCCACCATTATGAAAAACAGTGTAAATTTTAAACGCTTATATCTTTGATTATGTTCGGCATTTAGAAATCAAGGGGAGGTTGTGAAATACCTTTTAGGAAGAGATGCCGAACTTCATGTGACGGACAAGAAGGGTGACAGTGTTTTATTCTGGGCAGCATTGTACAACAACATCGATCTGCTGAAGAAATGCTTGGATGATGGACAAATAGACCCCAACGCAAAAGTAATTGTTATATATTGTTGTAAAATGTAGTTGCATCTGTGAATTGAAAATAATAACAAAAATAATAATAATGATAACAATAGTGATAATAATTATAACAATGATAATATTAACAGATAATAATAATAATAATAATAATACTCGTGATGATAATAATACTGATACTACTACCACTACTACTACTAATACTAATCGTAATAATAATACTAATAATAATTATAATAATAATACTACTATTAATAATAATAAGGGTACCCGAAATAGAAACGCTCTTCCGGCAGAGCCCTGCAATTATTGTTTACCCAGCGTTGTCAAATACCCATGTACAAAGGGTTTACAGTTACTGTAGACAACCTTGTCAATGGATGCATTCATAGGGCATGGATCGAACCCGGGACCCATTGGATGAGAGTCAAGAGCTAACAACAATAATACAACATGCAATCGAGAGCCGTGTCTGGGAGAGCTCTGATGACACTACAATACCCCAAAAAGTGAAATAATGTAGATATATATATTTTGTATTTAACATCCTTGCTATTGCTTAGTGAATAATTACAACAAACCTCACAATTACACGCATAGCTTAACCCAATAAGGGGGGATGCTTTTTGTCAAAAAGTTCATAATTCCTAAACACGAATTTTCCATACCAGGGATGTCATAATACAGGTAGAAATTCCGAACATTTGTTTTAAACCGTTTGTTTGTTTATCCAGACATTCATATTTCTGACAATGAAACAGGGTTCATGAAATATAATAGGGATTACGAATATGCCCTCCCCAAAACGTTTCGGAATTAATAAAACGAGCACTCGGAATTATGAATCTTTGAAAAACAACATGTTATCATTTGAATTAAATTCGCCATTCTCTTACAGAATTCATCTGGCCAAACTGCATTGCATGTGGCAAGTGGATTCGGAAACTTTGAAGCCGTGAAACTTCTACTCGACCATCACGCAGAGATCGACACAAAAGATAATCAAGAAAGTACACCTTTGCATAATGCCGCAGAATGGTATGTTAGGATTGATTACAGTTATTACTTTCCATGTGATTACGTGTCTACATATTCGAGTGACATTCAATAGTCGAAATAACCATATCTTACACAAACTTTTACTTTGCACATTATTGTATCCATGAACAAAGTAAATTGAGCTGTATAATATAGTATATCAAAACCAACACAAATAATTTGAGAAACGAAAAATACGACTTCAAATGATAAACATGCATTTTCTCATCGAACTCATTGATAAAGTAGATCAAAAAAATGTATCCGTTATATTGGCTGAGATTCATTATCCACAGTCAGCCTGTTAAAACAGTTAGCCTTTCGAATTAATTTTACATTCTGCTATACAGACATAAGATATTTTAATCCTGTTAAGGGGCTTTCGTAAAGTTCCTACGGGCGCTGGGACAGTTTTTGAAGCCGTACGGGCGCCGTGGTGCTGAGTTGGCTGCTCCCAATTCTTCCGGCGTTTTTATCTGACAGTTAGGCCGTATAAAGCCCGTACCCCTCAAGAGCCCCGGGTAATATGCACAACAACAGGCGTCTGCCGTCCGGGGGCCATTTAAAATTAATATTGCCCGTGCGGGTCACTCACGGCGGCATCTTAAAATGTACAACGCAGTTTAAAATACAGGAGGTGCGGATACCAGAGGACACATACAGAGTGAGTCAGAAAAAATGTCCCACTTTGTTTTATTGTATTGTATGTTGCGTTGTATTGTTTGAAGTATGAATATTTAATCATGAGTTTCATGATATGTCTAGATAGAGTTATCCTCCCAGTACATTTAGGTACCATTTCCATTTGAATCTCTGCATGCATGACTGAACATCAGACAATCTTTACAAGACTGCCAGATCTCTTTTGCGCCAAGTTATAGGTGAGGAATAAAATAATGTTTTGAACAAAGACAGCCAGTTTTTTTTCAATTATCCAATTAGCCAGACAGACAAAAACACACAAACAAACACACACAAAAAAAACACACACACACATGCATAGGTACATGCACACAAATGAGCATTCCATTCCCGACAAGGCCCACCCAAACTGTTACTTTTTGTCAGGAATTCGTCTTATCGTACGAAAAGTTGAGTGGCCGCTTGTCCTCTTAGTGCGTATTCGCGGATCTTGTGCTTCATGATGATGATGATGATGATGATGATAATGATAATGATGATGATGATGATGATGGTGACGATTAAGATGATGCCAATGATGATGATGACGACATGATGGTGGTAGTGAATGTGTACAAAAGGGATAGATTCTTAGGGTTATAACACTTAAGCATTCAGCGATCTTGATAAAAATCAATGCTCAATCAGAAAAGGGGTAATTATGAAACAATTTTCACTGTGTGTGTTGTGTGTGTGGGGGTGTGTGCGTGTGCGCGTGTCTGATTGGCTTTGTTCAATGCACTGTTTTATTCCTCACCCAGTAACTTGGCGCAAGAGAGATCTGGCAGTCTTGTAAAGATTGTCTGATATAAAGGTGATGCATGCATAGATTCAAATGAAAATGGTACCTAAATGGTACCTAAATCTACTATCAAGATATATTATGAAACCCATGATTAAATATTTCCTGCCGGGAGCCATCGGTACACCTGCTCATCGGGCGGAGCCCGTAAGGTTACCGCCCGGGACTCGGCCGGGACCCTGCCGGGACCATCACGGGCGCCTTGCTTTTCACTCGACCAATTTTCTCCGGGCACCTCCCGGGCGCCGCCGAATATGTGACCACAAATGCCGTGGAAATGAAAATCGGACGGTTCCCGTACGGTCTCTAAATCCACGGCAAGCCGCCGGGTAGGGAAAATCGTACGGGGCCCGGTTTATATGTGACCTAGGCATTAATGTGAACGTTCCATAACTTCGGGGCAGTGTAGGCAAGAGCCCTTTCTTAGAAAATGTGCATTCTTGAGGCAGGTACATTCAGCAGTTTTGGGATAAATGAGCGAATATGCATATCAGCTTAAATATTTGCAGTAGGGCTAGATCTTACGATGTTGATAACCAAGGCCAAGACCAATACCAACAACGAGAAATGTTAACACTTGATACGAATGTATATAGACACAACTGTACGATTCTGTATCACTACAACGTTTATGTGTATAGTGCAGACGAAAACAAAATCCGTTGTTTAAAAATCATAATCACTTTTGTTATTAATTCAGCAACCGTGCCGAGGTTATCAAATATCTACTGGAACATGAAGCAGACATACAAACTAAAGACTGCGATGAACAAAGTCCATTGCACCGTGCCGCATCATCGGGAAGTATAGATTCAGTCAAAATGTTGGTGAAAATGGGAGCAGATATTGGTGCAAAGGTATGAATAATCTTCCTATGCCTCATATTTAATGTCAAACTCCCACCTTGTAAATATAATGGGGTAGATATTCCAGATGCTTGAAGATTGCTCAACTGTTTCGGTTGAATTGTTAAGCTATATCCGTGTTTACACATGTTTCTATGGAGGTAAAACAAATGGGGATGCGTAATTTTGCTAAGACGTAATGTTATACAAAGCAGTCGTTCCGCCAATTGGTGAATGAACCACAATTATAAACCCAATATGGCCAAATAACTTGTTATGACATCGTGACATCTTGAAGTTTTTGTTTGAAATGGAAGATTTCTATTTGAAACGCATGTCTGACCGAGAAATGTAAAACAAGTCATGTGGATTAAAGTGATCAGTTGAATAAAGATACAAAGATATTCACAATCAGCTATCTTTGCTCCTTTTGTCTCAAGAATCCCTTTTTTTATAAAAAAAATAAATATATTATGATCACCACAACTGAAAAAAGTTTTCCGCTTTCAATTTTTTTATTTTTTATTATTCCTTAAAATATACAGGCAAACGATGAGTCTACCCCCCTCCACTTAGCCGTGGCTGAATTCACAGGGGATCCCGATTTGGATTTTCTGTATGAGTTAGGAATGCAATTTCTACATGGACCCCGAGAAAAAAGGTACTCTATCTTAACATCTACTTTAACAGCAAATTCATCAATGGTACATAGTATCTGTTTAACCTACAAACAACAATTTGCATAATTATATTCGTTTTTATGAATTTTAAAATATAATTGTTGTCATGATATCGCAAAAACCTGGCTGACATATTAAATGAGATTTTCGATTTTCAGATGTTTTTTTAAATTTAAACTCTGCATAAAAGAGATACAACTCTGACATCACTGTTTTAATTGAAATAGCGACTTAAAAGGGAAAGAATAAACGCCAAGGATGCTGCACACTTTGAGGAGTTATATAGGGTAGGTGTAAGGGAATTGGAGACCCTTAGGCACATTTGCAAAATTTACATAAACATGAAAAATGTTACACATACAGAAAGTTGTGTATTCTCTTCAGTAACTGCTTCTCTTTATTTGGTAGCAAAATTGTGGTCATGATGTAACTGATTAATTAGATAACAATCATTAATGACTTCATCACCAAAGGTCTCTCATTACCTACTTGTGAAGGTAATAAGGGACAGTTACAAATCAAGACATTTTAAATACAATTTAAATGGAAATGGGATTGTTATGATAAGTTAAAACACTTTTTGAAAGAGATATATGCAGCCAATGAACTTACTGTAATTTTGAAACGAGTTTAAAACAATGTGGCCCAAAATATTTATGTACATGGACAATTAACCGACCAGCATCGGGTCATTGACTGTTCTCGGCATACTCGACATTCACAAAAAACGACCCCAATCTCTCTCTCCCTCTTTCTCTCTCTTCAAACTTCTCTCCTTCTGTTTTTCTTTTAAGCTTCCCTTTTCTCTCTTCTAGCATGTACGTGTATGATGATTATTGTTGTCTCGCAGAAATCTGACTCTCTTAATTTTCATTAATGTATTACATGTGCTTAGGAATAATATGTTTATTTAATTATGATCATTCCATACCCTGCTCTCTCTCTCTCTCTTCCTTTCTCTATTTGTATCTCCCCTTTTCTCACATCCCCTCTCTCTCTCTCTCTTTACTCCATTCGCTTTATCACTCTTACTCTTACTCTTAATTTCATGAGCCATATACCTTCCCCTGCTCTTGTATATCGTCCGCTAGTACATCCTTTCACTTATTGTACATAAACGAACGGAATACAATTATGCTGTATTGTCATTATGTTACAGATTTATTTACTATGTTTCGTACTATTGTACATGCATATTATTAACATAGCTGTAGCTTTGCAAACTGACCCTTTCAGCCTTGTGCTGCTGGTCGATCATTATATACCAATAACTGAATGATAATAATAATAATAATAAATCGTGGACCTGGTGTCCCCCATTGCCTGCACACATTCATAATATGCTGTGCAACACCCATTCACAACATACAATGGCCATAAGTTGTATGTGATGGCTGGCACACTTCATAAATTCCATTTTAAAACTACTTTTTAAGAGCCACCCATAAATATCTGCATACACCACAACATTCAGTGACAATTGTGTGTTTATATCAGAGCAAAATGTTACGATCAGAATTGGTTACCTTGGTCAATTTTTCCAATTTTCTCGGAGAACTAGCACAGTAGTCTTCGAAATGCATTGAATATATGCAGTAGTGTTGTTAAAGGCCACACATTGCGCTATAGCAATATTGTAGCCAACACGGACAGACAGTGATTGGTTCAAGCTTGGTGGTCTCCAATTCCCTGCGGTCTCCAATTCCCTACATCTACCCTAATCAAATATGATTACTGTCAAGGTTTTATTGTTTAGTAATAAGATTATCAGCTAATGTATGCTGGGTTTCATTCTCCTTTAAGAAACAATGCTAAATGTGTAGAGCACCTTCTAGACAAAGGAGCCGATATCAACGCACCTGATGTCGTCGGTTACACGCCTCTTATCTTCGCTGTCGCTAATTCTGTGTATGACTGTGCAGAAATCCTCATTTCAAGAGGTGCAGATATGGACGCAAAGGTACTTAAATTATGCTAGCCCTAGTTTGTGCATCATTCTATGGTATTAAGGTTTAAGGCGTTCACGAAATAATTTTGAGTTATACTCCTGAATATATTTGATTTGTCATCTTAGGTTAATGAAGCTTTTTGTGCCAAAGGCACAGTGGTATGGTGCTCATATATATAAATGGAGTCGTATAAATACAAATAAAAGCAAATACGCCTGGATATCCTCCCAATAGCTTGATTAGAATTGAATTGAATTCATTCGCCACTTTTAAAACAACATACACAAGCAAACAGTACAATAAACAACATTCTTGCAAACATAGATAAAGCAATGAATGGAAAGTCCGTGAACAGTATAACATTCAGAATGGGAGAGACTGAATGTAAATCCATGAAATAAATTAAAAAGAGCAGGGGCCTATAATTGACCTATGAGGAGTGCCATAGGCAACTGATTGTAAACTTGAATTTTTAGAATTGAAAACAGTCATTTTTTGCGGTTATAAATAACCGCAAACTAATTTAAGAGTAACACCAAGAATTCCAGTTTTGTAATGAGAATACCTTGGTTAAGTGAATAGAAAGCTTGCTTAAAATCTATAAATATACCAACAATGATCGGTGACACATTGATACGAAATAGTCGGATTTTTAAGAATATTTTTTCGAAGTTAAACGAATTAATTTTAAATAAACTTTAAATTGCAGGAAGGATTAAATCCATGGTCATTTTCGTTTTTGTTCATTTAAGCCACGTTTCCTTTAGATAATTTTTACAGGCATGGTGCAGTTACCAGTCTTCATGACCAGGGACCAGTGCAAAATTCCAAGACACTTAATTCATTGAAAGACCGTCAATACTACTGAGCCAGAAGGGATTAGACCACACAGCGAGGTCACTGACAGGTGGCTATCTCATTAACTCAGCTCTCAACTAACATAACAAAAAGAGTAAATGGGGACCAACAGGCACCGATTGGGCAAGTTTTCTATATAGAGGGTTTTGTGGCAGTCTTAAGGTGTTTCACATTAGACGAGTTATACACAACCGCGTGCGTGTTCGCGGAATGAGTCTTATTCAAAGGTTTGTAACTACTCAATTATTAAAAAAAACATTTTACCCATACAGACAGCTCGAAAATCTACAGCCCTTCATATAGCAGTCAGAAGTGGTCATTCAGAGATACTTCAATTGATTCTTAGTCAGAGCAGGTAAGGATTAAAGAAAGACGACAAAACTCACATAAATCACAATACCTATAGTTTTACTTAACTAATCTAATGAAGTCAGCCTGATCAGAGTAGCATAATGAACGATGATCGCAAGTTTCGCAACTTAACTGAACACATTGCACATCAATAACAAATGAGCTTTGTTAAATTATTAAATTATACAAAAGTTCGGCAATTAGGTCAAGAAATAAGCCTAACAATAATAATAATGGAAGCTGGCATCTGCTTTATGTTATGAAGTCATTAATGCGGCGCTGTCTATGCAGAATGGGAAATCAGGATTTACTGTCCTTTAAGCCCCTCTTTAAGTGTTGGTAACACCGAATTTTCCCCCAAAATGTGTTTGAAGATAAATATTTATAAAACAATACATAATTTGGGTTGCACGGTGTACGCAGAAAACCTAAATTCTGTATTCTTTCATCGATATTCGGTTCAAAACACAATCGTTTCGAAAATACTTGCAGAAATGTGTTTTAAATGGCACCCTCTTTCATATCATGATACAATGTAAATGAAATGATGCCATTGGGAGTTCCCAACACTTTAGAGGGGCTTTAAGCAGGATATCAGAAAGCACATGAATTACAGTTCCTTTTTGAATTTTTCTTCAATTTTAATATTTAATTTTTGTTTACAGCCAGACCGATGAACAGACAAAACCCCGTTTAGAAGCTGTCAATAAGGATAAATGGACACCGCTACAAGAAGCAATATGCTATGTAAACGTGGAATGCGTGCGGCTGCTCTGCGATTATGGTGCAAATTTGGAGGCACCCTCAATCAGTGGAAAAACGCCTCTCTACAGAGCCGTTGAAGTGTAAGTAAAATGAAAATCACATGGCCTGTATGCTCGTTTAAATAAAATGCGATAAACAGCGGCGGGTTTTTGTTTGTTTGTTAATTCTCGCAGGTTATTTTCTTTATGTTGTCTGACCCTTGTTCGGAAAAACAATCTCCTTCTTTCTAATAAAAATACAAAGTAAACAAATCAAAATATGTATATTTTTAAACCCGTGAAAAAGAACATATTTGTAAAAATCCCGGAAAATCGACCCTTTTCGAGAAATGTGTAAATTATGCGTACACTTAGTAAAGAATCACCAGGTATACAAAATCAATGGTGGTTTTGTATAGTATGGGAAGCCATTCCTTTTATTTGCAGGTTAAAAACTGTTTTTCTGAAGGTTCGGTACTTTAAAAAATGGGTTCCCAATTCCTTTATAAAATAAGGTTTGTATTTTCCAAGGCTACGCATACCATGATTATTCTGTTTACGGAATAAGAAGCCTAAAATTACTATTATTATTTCGTTTTTAGGAGTTAGTAACCCTTTTTTCATTTTCTGAATTACGAATCTTCGGACAAATAAATACTTTTTCATTTTCGGAATTATCATAACTATGAAATACCTTGTATGGGAAATTTGGATATTTGGTATGGGATGAACTTAAAGAAAAATTATTGTTTTGGCGACTTACCCCTAGATCATGAGTATATACTTACATTAACTGCTAATCTTACCTAAGGGAATCTGTGGAAATCGTGAAACTTCTCTTGGAAAAGGGCGTAAACATTAACGCAGGTGCAAAGCTGTACGGAAACGCAACTCCTTTTCATTTGGCTGTCGAAAAGGGATATCGAGATATCGTAGAACTTCTCATCGAACGTGGACCTGATTTAGACGCACGGGTAGTATGTTTTGTACTTGTATCTTTATTTCAATATTGTTCCTTTTATTTTGTGTATATTGTTTCATGTGTTATGTTTACACTATCAACATATATTAAAAATCCAAGAGATATTGGGTAAATGCACTACGTAAAGTAATTGCACTTAAAACGGTTGAACAATATTAAGAAATAATCAAAATGTTTCATTACTTTTATTTAGTGTTCTGGTATTTTATGTAATGACGTAATTTATTTAATTTCTTTCTGGTTGGCTTCTATAAATAGGTTCATACATCTTACATCAACCACTTACCATTAGTCATGATAATTTTTCTGCTGCTTGCAACGCTTTCTTAAAAAGGGGTAAAAATAGATCTGTAACTGTTATTGTGCATCGAAAGAGAACCATACCTTCTTAGAACGTTGACGATTAAAACTTCATCTCGGTTTTGTTGTACTCATAAACAAAATGAAATAAAATGAAAGTGGGAATGTTAAACAGCACGTCACTAAAAAAAACACATCCAAAATAACTTTGTTTCCTGCATACTTGGTTGAGGAAAAACTGTAATTCATAATTCCTTCCCCCTTCAATTCATACTAAATATATAAGGATACAAAATTATATATACCTGAATATATTTCATTATTATAACATATAATTATGTGCTACACATGAATATAATAAACATGTTTAAACGATCAGTGTAGTCCCTGGAAACCCTTTAACGAAAATATTTTGCACAACATTTTTGTTTACCCTTTCTTGAAAGATCCATACAGTTTCTATACACATTCTGAATTATAAAAGCCACACGCATGCGCCCCTTTTTTGGCGTGAGGGATCATGGTATTTACAAAATAATTTATAGTCATTTTGTTTACAAAGAAAATTCCTCTCATTTTCTTAAAGACAACAAATGACTACAACGTTTTTCACGTCGCCTCAGAAGCTGGACAAGAACAGTGCCTGCAAATTCTTGTGGATTATGTCATAGGGACAGATGGCGGAGATGGGTGAGTATTATTTGCATGTTACTCTGTGCAAGTGTTGACATTTGACATTTAATTTACTTATTTTTCCACTCAAATATCACAATGTAATATAATAGAAAAAAAAATGAATTACACAAATAACGATTACCGGTAAGTATATACGAAACAATATAAGTTTACAGATTACATTTAAGTTTGATAATAAGACTAAGTATTTTAGATTCCTGATTTTATTGAGAGGGAAACGAGTATTCCCCCTCACTCCCCCTAAACAAACAACAAAAAATAAGATATCAAAACAATCTCACGTTTGTTCATTTCTTAATGGAATGTTTTCCCTCTAAATTCTCAACAAATAATAACCAAATATTATTTTTGAGAATGTCTTAACTAAGGAAAAAGAAAGGACACTTTAATAATTAGAATCTTGCTCTATATGAAGTTTGAAACTAATCAAGTTGTATTTCATACCCGTGGGGTTGCATTATAAAATATCGGGTGCCGTATTTGCTTGTCCTATGAATATTGTGCATACAATATTTAATAAATTTACATATGTCCTATTGTTAAGTAGATAAATAATCAACATTAAACTATCGAATTCGTCCATTTTACAGCAGCGAAGCGGAACAACACTTAGAGCATCGTTCGCTTATAGATTCTACTGTGAAAACTAAACTGACACCTCTGCACTGCGCCATACTCGGAGGCCACTTGGGATGTGTTCAGATTCTCTGTGATGCTGGCGCAAACGTTGAAGCCCAGTCGATAAGCGGGAAAACCCCCTTGCAACGAGCTACTGAAAAGTGAATAAATATATTTTAGATTCCTTTCATGTTTCAGCCATGCCATTAAGATAAAACGTCACTCTTCCCTTGGTATACCCTTAACTGGTATTAGGATCATAACTGTTATCATTATTGTTATCATTTGTATTATTATTTTATTTTTAAATATAATTATTATTATTATTGTTATCATTATTATTGTTATTATTAAAAATAATATATATATAATTATTATTATTATTATTATTATTGTTATTATTTATTATTATTATTATTATTATTATTATTACTATCATTATTATTATTATTATTATTATCATTTTTGTTATTATTAGTATCATTATTGTAAATATTATTATAACTTTTATTATAACTACTATTATCATTTTTTTATTTGTATCATCACTATTATTAGTAGTAGTAATAGTAATATAAGTAGTAGTAGTAGTAGTAGTAGTAGTAGTAGTAACAGTAGTAGTTGTAGTAGTACTAGCAGTAGTTTTGTTGAACTTGATATTTACATCTAATTGCCAACTATTATCCTTATTGATTATCAATTTATTTTTTCAATGATTACCCATAAAAGGAAACACGTTGATATTATGAAATACCTTCTGGCGCTGCATGCTGATGTCAACAAAGCCAACAATACTGGCATCACAGCGCTTCATATAGCTGCATCAAACGGTTTAGCAGAACCCCTTGGAACTCTTTTAGAATACCATGCAGATGTCAATGCACAGGTAATTTAATTGTTTGTAATACACTACAGGATATGTGCAATTTAACGAATGAATGCCAGAGTCATATTAATCTCTCACTTGCTTTTAAATTTGCCTACTCATTTCAAAGAATAAACAAGGAATGAAAAGTTATCCCGGACTCTAAATGCAATGGCAAGATTATTAATCAGTAGAAGAGTGGTAAAATATAACTGGTGATTACTTGTCGTACTTGGCATGTGTATCCATCGGTGGGAGAATAAAGTCTTCGTATACTTCATTTATATTTATAGTCTCAGGGAGGTTGGACACCGTTGCACATGTCTGTCAAAGCAGGCCACGATGGGATCACAAGTATTCTGATAGCATACGATTCCAACATTCATGCAGAAACTGAGAATGGAAATACCCCTATTCACATAGCGGCCGAATGGTGAGAACACACATTAATTATTAAAGCCATTCATTCCTTTAGTCAACTAATGTTATTATTAATATCAATATTTTTTATTTTTTATTTCCATGTATTAACCCGTTCAACTCGGGAACCGAGATTTCTCGGGCCCCGAGGTACGTACTCACAAACGGGAACCGAGATTTCTCGGGTCCGAGCAAGGGCTTCTTTTATTGCAGAAAAGTACATCTATTTACCTTCTAAATACAATATAAACTACCTGTATACAAACCTTGAACCTTTGGCTACATGCATCTCATTTTTTACCGACTGTAGATGCGTAATTTTTGTTTTATTACAAGTTTAGCATGAGAATGCACGAGTCCTCTTTTAGGATATTCGTATAGAACACATGCAAGTCAGTTTACGTTATTTTGATAGATTTTCGGATTCGCTGCTGCTAGCTAGCTGGGTCTACTCTGCCTAGGACTGTGTAAGCCGGACATAATGACTTTACAAGCAGCGAATTCCACACTCGCTCTGGGTACCTTTGTACTCGGCACGCGCGGATACACCGTTCAATGCATGAGCCTTGGCCTTATATGGTCATTGACGCCTATTCATGGTAACGGGCCGGTTATTGAAAAGCTTATAGTATATTACAGTCTCGTTCGACCTAGCGCTCTCAGTTCAGTTTACTCATGCGTACGTATACAGGGTACCGGGCCGACCTATTATTGGGGAGATTAGCTAGTCTCGATATAGTCCATCCCATTGTTTCGTTTCAAGGTTGTCGGCTATTATTTACTTATCGTGCTATAAAGTGTCGGAGTTTTACTATTTAGTTCAGCTTTTTGATTTTCATGATAGTTGGTTGCACAAATTAGTTCTCAATTCTTTGCTTATAACTGCTCTTTATCTATGTAAGATAGTTTCTCAAAATGTCTCGTCATCGGAGAAAGCATATTTTTAGCGTTGAAGATGCTCGAGAAGCGAACCTTGACTCGGACTCAGAAAATGAATATGATAAAATGGACTATTATCAAGCGAAGAAGAATATTCGTCGGACGTAGAAAATGAAGAATATGAAACAACGACATTCGATGATATTTCCATAAGTTATCTATAAAGCCTGTCGTCTCAAAAGTTTTGACTCCACAGCTATCTTTTACGTCATTGTATTTACGTGACAATACGCTTTTCATTTTATCAACTTGACCAATTTAGCGAATCATTCATGTATGGACCTCCTCTTTTATGAAAGGCTTATCCAGGCTCCCTCAGCTGCCCCACGCTGAGGGGGAACAAAAGAATGTAAAGAAGTAACTACTCTGGAAGATTCCCGTTTTGAAAGAAGAGGATGTAGGCGTAAATAGGTCAATTTACATTACAATACAAACAACCACTCTAACTTCTAACTTATACACCTTTACGAGGGCATGTAACAATTTTAGAGCAGGTTGAAGTAAGATATCTTGATCAACCTAAAGCCGGTCTTGGCTTGAGCGGGCATATGAAATGTTCAAATGTTATGTTCTGAAAAAACGACCCCTTACTCTTCCTTTCTCTCCCCACGGAATATTACTCTTGTCTTGAGCAACTCCGGCGGTAAAGCCACGAATATGAGACTTTTCCCGGGCAAAGATGCTACCATTGTTAAAAAAAATGCAAGGCAACATAAAACAAGTTTTCTGGCAATGAAGAAAAGCGAGTGCAAGATGAAGAAAATAATTGTTATTATTATTATTACTATTTTATTACAATATTGTAAGCATCATCATCATCATCGTCATCATCATTATCATTAGCATGTATGCATGTACATGCCATCTACAGAACTGATCATGAAATGAGGATTATCTAAGTTTTATTGACACGATAGGTTGACCAAGGACACAGATGGAGACGAAGACAAATAAAGTGAATTATCACGTTGTTTGCACTTCTTTCTTTATTGTTCCGTAATATAATGAATTACTATATTTTCAATATCATTTATTTTCGAATAAATAAAAGACTACCAATACTACGGCGATTAACTCCTTATTAGCCACACCCTTTCAAAAAACAAAAAAAAACAAACACAACAACGCAATACGGAAATAAAATACACTGAAGCACAATTCCAATTTCACGAAATTCCTGACGTATTCAGAGAGGGAAGGGGGAGGATAGAGACAGACAGACAGAGACAGACAGAGAAAGATAGATAAATAGATAGAAGGAGAGAGAGAGAGAGAGAGAGATGATTGTGATGAATTATGATTTTGTTCTAATCTCTGTCATTCATTTAGCTCTTTCCATTACATACACAAATAAAATATGCGTACAATGATTTAATGATTTAATGATATTTGTCTCTCCGGTCACCCCCCCCCCCAACTCTGTTTTTTTTCTTCTTTATTTTGTCTCCTTTTTGTTTGATTATATCTTTTTGCTAAAGTATAATGTCCGACGTATAACAAGGATATGTTATAATAATTAATCTCAAGGAAGGGATGATGTCGGCATACAAGCAAATGGCGGAATAGACAACATTATGAAGATGAAAATGGAAAACGACATAGACAGAGAGACAGACGGACAGGGAGAGAGAGAGAGAGAGAGAGAGGGGGGCGGGGGGGGGGGGGAGGGGGGATAGAAAGTTGGACGTAGTCTGTACTGTTTTTATTACTATGATCTTTTTTTCTCACCGACTCCCCCCCCCCCCCCCCCCCTCAAGCTCACAATTTTTTCTTTCCATTTTTTTGTTTTGTTTTGTTTATATCTTTGGGCTAAAGTATAATATCCGACCGTCAATATAGCATAATAAACAATTTTTGTATCAATCAGTTTGATGCAACAGGGATTTACAATCAAAAGTTTTACTTGGTATAATTGTTGTTCATTAATGTTCTTCTCATGTCGACATTATCAGCCGCTCGTTCTGTATTTTGTTTCCTATAATAAATATAAGATATAATGTGTATATCATCAGGGATATTTACGTTATAATGATTAATCTCGAGGAAGAGATGCTGCCGGCGTACAAGCCAAGCAAATGGAGGAATAGAAAACATTATAAAAAAAGATGAAGATGGAAAACGACATTGCCAGATAGACAGAAAGATAGAGAGAGAGAGAGCGAGAGAGAGGGGGAAAGAGAGAGAGAGAGAGAGAGAACGAGAGAGAGAGAGAGAGAGAGAGAGAGAAAGTGGAGGGGAAAGCTAGGGGGCGGGAGAGATAGAAAGTTGGACGTAGTCCGTACTGTATTTATTCATATAATATTTGTCTCTCTGATCACCCCCCCCCCCCCCAGCTCCGATTTTTTTTTTACCCTTTAGTTTGCCCTTTTTTTCTTCATCATATATCATTTTATTGCGAATATGGTAATACAATTCGAATTTCTGTATATGTACCAAGCAATTTACCAAGGTCGTTGAAGCATAATTATATATCATTTGTACAAAAGAATTCCAATTTTACTACCATAATGCTACCATGCATAATGTTTTACGTGTAATTTTACTTTGTCACTGATGTATACCTTGTAAAAGAAACTGCAATTCGGCTCTCGGGCCGCGAATGTTTTTTAATGAAATAAACCATTTTAAATAAAAAAATAAATAAATATAGATATCTTTTCACTGAAGTATAATGTCCGACGTATAATAGTATTGTAAATATAGCATTTTAAACATTTTTTTATATCAATTTGATGCAACAGAAATTTTCATTCAAAAGTTTTACTTTGGAAATATAATTATTGTTCAGTAATATTCTTCGCATTTCGACATTATCAGCCGCTCGTTCTCTATTTCGTTTCCTATAATAAATATAAGGTATAATGTGTACATCATCAGGGATAATTACGTTATAATAATTAATCTCAAGGAAGAGATGATGTGGGCATACAAGCAAACGGAGGAATAGAAAACATTTAATAAAAAAAGATGAAGATGGAAAATGACATTGCCAGATAGACAGAGAGACATATAGAGAGAGAAAGAGGGGGAAATAGAAAGAGAAAGAGAGAACGAGCGATAGAGAGAGAGAGAGAGAAAGGGGAGGGGGAAGGGGGCGAGAGAGATAGAAAGTTGGACGTAGTCCGTACTGTATTTATTTATATGATATTTGTCTCTCCGATCATCCTCCCCCCCCCCCCCCACCCCAGCTCCGATTTTTGTCGCCTTTAATCTATCCTTTTTTGTTATATAGATATCTTTTCGCTGAAGTATAATGTCCGACGTATAATAGTATTGTCAATATAGCATAATAAACAGTGTTTATATCAATTTGTTGCAACAGAGATTTTCATTCAAAAGTTTTATTTTGGAAATATAATTATTGTACAGTAATATTCTTCGCATTTAGACATTATCAGCCGCTCGTTTTTCACTTCGCTCCCTATAATAAATATAAGGTATAATGAAGTGTGTACATCATCATTATTTTATAATAATTTATCTCAAAAAGGAATGGTGCCGGCTTACAAGCAAACGGCGGAACAAAATTGGCAGATAGACAGAAAAAGCGACCGAGTGAGAGATAGAGGGAGAGAGAGAGACACATAAGCAGAGAGAAAAAGAGAAAGAAACAATCATTTCTTATAATTATCTATTTGTCTGTGACATTTTTATCTTTATCACATATTCTTGTCCATTCCATTATCGTGCATGAATGCCTTTGTATGAGTGTTTCAGATAGGGTAAAGTCTGGCTTTACGTTATATGATTTTTATTTATTAGAATGTCGGAACGTGATCCCATTTAAAAAATTTAAAAACAGCAACGACAACTGCAATAACAACAAGACCCTTCCCTACCCCAAAACAACATAAACCAGGGTTATACATGAATACAAAGTCAGTTCATTGTTGTTGTTGTTGTTGTTTGGTATTATCGGCGTTTCATTCTTTTTTTTAGAATATTTACGCCTTTCACTTTATTTTTTTTTCTTCTATTTGTTGGTACTATTTGTAAATTCATACTCTTCTCTTTTTTTTTTTGATAATATAATCTCAGATCTGTCATCCAATTATTCAATTATACCCTTACCTTACTTCCGCTCTTCAGAGTTTATAGTCATGACAACGACCCGTACCCTCAGCAACGTTCATTGTTCCTCTCCTTTCACCCCAACCGTCCCCATTCTGGATTCTTCTTTAGTTTCATTTTATCATGTCTATATCTTTTCGCTATAGTATAATGTCCGACAAGAAAATATTATAACCGTCAATTTAGGCTGATAAATTATTTCATATGAATATGATGCAACAGAGATTTACATTGAAATCTTTAATTTCTTATAATTTTTTTTATTTTTCTCATAAAATTGAGTATCTAAATAAAAAGAGAAAGAAGAAGAACTAAATAAGAAATATAATACTTGTTTGGAACAAGTATAGGTGGGCTGGTCAACTACAATTTGAGACAAAATAGAGCAAAAATAAGCGACATACTGCTTACAAATTCTTAAAAAACAATATCATGTAGATTCATAACGTGAACTACATTCACCTTCTGTAGGCATAACACGCAAATTATGAAGTTTTTGAAATGAGGCCTTTAATCGAAATTTTCACTATGATGACCTCATCAAAATGAAAAATGGTGATTACTTAGCTTGTAGAGAATTGTCTTAGCTACAACATATCGAAATTTGGAAGAAAATCAATCAATATTTACAGAGATACAATCAATTTTCCATAAAATTGCTGACGTCATAATATGCAAATTCGTATTTTGAGTTCCAAGGCCATTTGTGATGATGTCACGATATTTGTAATGGCCAAATGAGACATGATTTCATATCTCCGACTCATACCCTATCCAAATATGAAAAAAATTAAGGGTCCGGTTTATCCAAAACAGCTATAATGGATTTTGTATAGGCAAGTTTTTGCCCATATATGCTATGAATTACAAGAGCTCGCGCGCACGGACATTTTTCTTGAATGGACGCTCATCTTAATATTAATGGTCATAAATAGATGAACATGGTATCAAATTGTTTGAAAAAATATGGGAATTATCATGAAAGAAAACAAAATGGCGATTCTATGTTGTGTAATGGTGTTACGCGCGAAAACGCGCGCGCATGCGCGTGTGCGCGATTTTTTATAAAATGCTTAAAATGACCTGAAACGTATGCAAAATAAATTTAAGACGATATTTTGAGCATTTCAAAATTTTGCGCGCGGACGTACGCGCACGCACGCGTTTTTTGACCTGAAATTGACCGGACTGATATTGACCTTGATCATGATAAATATGAATGTGAAATTACTTTTAGTTATGAAGATATGATCATGAGTTGATTTTCAGAAAATTTCACAAAATGGCGCCTAGATGACGTCATCATTCAAGGTCAAGGTTGAAAAATTTGCTGTGTTTTGTGCATATGCCTATACATATGTGTGCCAAATTTCAAGGTATTTGATTGAGCCATTTTCAAAATATCTTGCACACAAAAAAGTGGGTCGAAATAAAAAAAAAAAATAAAAAAATAAATAAATAATAAATAAAGGTGATTTTAACAAAAATATAAGGTGGTCTGTATTAGATACAGCCCACCTGATGAGGCGAAGAAGGAGAAGAAAAGATAACGAAGAAGAAAACCCTACGAAAGAGCTGAAAGAACTGAGAGGCTTGAAGCACAGCAGAGAACGGCCGTGCAACGTGTTCTCGACATGACAAAGCCAGATTGGCAAATGATCTGCGCATGCGCTATGTTCCTGTTAGTCAAAGCCTCTGGCCGCTTGAACGCACACGCATTGTGGCGCGCGCTGAGCGGTCTCACGGTACGACGTGTTCGATTTTTAATCTCGTTTGTGAGGTGGCTATCAGGCTGAATAATGCCGAGCTGAACGGGTTAAAGATATTTACAAAAGGAAGGTGTTAGGATTTTTAAACAATATTTTTAATTCTGTACATGTACAGTGTGAGTCTAGAAAAATGCTAATTATTTAAAAAATATATATGAACAGTAGATCCTCATACATCTCATGAAAGAGTGTTTTATTCCAAATCATTTGGTTACATATTTGTGGGGAATGTGTTCACGCTAGGATAAACCGGAGGCATTGTTTGCGTGAGTGCAACATTCGACTTGCACCAAAGTTGCTTATGTGATGTTGGAATAAAACAATTGGGATTTGGGTATTAATTTGGTCTTTGCAGATCCAATAACATCCCTAACCAAATTAATGATACCACACATATCAAATATCGAAAATCAAATATCAACGGACATAGAATGGGCGCTCGCGTGTGTGTGTTTGTGTGCGTGGCTTTGCTTCTACAAAAAAGCTTATGCAATGCATTTTATTTGATACATTCAATTCATTCTCTCACTCCGCTAAACCGAACATAATACATACTGTAGGCATCACTTTGGCGCAATGCATCCTGTTCATCCAAGCGTGAACACATACCACACAAAAGTGATATCAAATGATTTGGGACAACACACTCTTTCATGAGATGTATACTAATTTACTGTTCATAGATGATTTTTAAAACAATTAGCAATTTTCTAGGTGTAATTTTTTTTTTTTTGACTCACCCGGTATACAATATATAATTTGTTTTAATTAATTTATTTATTTATATTTGTATTTATTATTATTATTTTTTTTTTCTTCCTCTGTCCATCAAATGCCATATACTAAATACGTATTTATCATCATTCCATCCCCGAGTACGGCGTTTAAATATAAATTTCTTTGTTATTACAATGGACGCCATCTTCATGGCTTGCATGGGGTGCTCACACTGACATATGGAAAGGAGGAAAAAGAGAAACATGATAAAGGAAAGTAGGGAGGAGAAGAAGGATAATAATAATAAGAAGAATAAGTAGTAGTAGAACTAGCTTTCTGAGGAGCGGGAAGATCATACCACTGTCGCAAGCTAAAGCTTTCAGAACATGACGGCTAAAACATATTTCATTTTTTTGAAAATCCATTGCGACGACGTATTTAAAATGACGTGATCTTTGGCTAAGTAATTATATGACAGTAGGAAACAAGGTCTTATTTGCATCAGATAATGCAACATGCACACCATTATTTATGAACGGTTTAATTTCAATAAAGTTATGTATGTTGTTATGTTTATACTTCAACAGGAATCGGCTTGAAATGCTGCAAGTTCTCATTGAAAATGGCGTCTCTGTAGACTCGACAAACACAATCGGATACACAGCTCTTCTATTGGCCAGCTCAAAAGGGCATCTGGGATCCATCACATTTCTTTTGCAAAATGGAGCAGAAGTTAACAAACAAGTGTGTTTCTTTTGATTTCTTTAGGACGTATCTTTTCATCCTACAGTGCAAAGTTTTAATGTTCGATAATTATCAACTTAACATTAGGATAAACCATTTTCGCCATACCATGACACACATACTAAAATATTTAGGACTTCTTATTCTAGTTTCTTATTTTTTTTTTCTTTAGCACGTATATACGATATTTATGTGGGTGTGTATTTAAAACGCATGCATTCACTGAGCAGTTAAAAATATTGGACACTATCCATAATTTATGCTTTAAAATGAATAAGAGATATAATTCGAACTTATCTTTCATTTATACAAAACACATATAAATCAATCTTCTTTAATATGAAATGCTATATGATCCGTACCGACCACGCATAAGTAAACATCGTCAATTAACCCCAAAAAAGCATATCAAATTATATTGCCAAAATAAGGGCATCTTGCCATTCAAATTCAGATAAGCATGTCCGTCTTGTAGAGTTATATTAAAACCATTCAGGCTTGAGACTAGAGTTGGCATTTATAATTCAGTCCTCATCTGTGTTTCTCTTTTTTCTTTTCTTTGCTTAACAAAAAAGTCTTGCATATGCATATTTTAAATACTATTGAATGGCTACTTGCTCCATTTTGTTGCAATTTGCTAATAAATCAGGCCTTCACTATGCCCATCCAATCGTACACATATGATGCTAGAATTTCAATTATTTTTAATTCAACGTATATACATTTATATATATATATATATATATAAATATATCTTATTGGCGATTTGGGAGAAGCTTTCGAACAATTAGTTTTAATTATCTCTCATTTAATATCAGATATCTTGTTCACTGCTCGGTTCTGGAATCATTAAAATGATAAGAAAGTTGGCCAAGTACTGGTAACACATAACAAGCACTGTACACATACACATGTATATGGGACTACACACACATGCGGCATAAATCTTAAGTCCAACTTAAAATCTTGAGTCCAACTTAAAATCGAGCGTAATCTTTGTGATACACTTCCAGGTTACAGTCCCTTGGATGGCATTATGGCACACAAGTTTGACATTAAATGCGCCACCGAATGTAGCCAGTTGTTATTACATTGTTTTTCTTCATTTCGTGGTTTGATTCTCTCACAAGTCAAACCATAATTCAACCCCGATACTCTTAGCTGCTGTGTACGGCCACCAGTCCTGTGTTGAAAAGCTGATAGCACATGATGCGGACCCCATGAAGAGGGATAATGACGGTGATTCCCTCGTTCACCATGCAGCACTAGGGTAAGCACAGGGTGATTCTCTCATTTGTTTTGCTTTACTTAATAGGGAAATCCTGGCATTAATTTCTATGATTTTGATAATAGCAACAAGCCCTTAAAGGCACAGTAACCTTCACTATTAACTCCCGTAATTGCTGAATTCCTAGCTTATGGATTAATAATTGCTCCAAACCTTGCTGCTGAAGTACATGATGCTCAAGTAGTAGTTGCCCAAGTTCTAGTTTCTAAAGTAGTGGTTGCTCGATGCGTAGTTATGATCCCTTTTAGTCTGTATTATTAGTTTCAAACATATAATTTTACATGTCCGGGTTGCTCAAGAAGTAGTTTATCAATTTTTATTCGAGCAATCATTAGGCTGATAATTGCTCAAGTAGTAGATGCTAAATTGCTAGTTGCCTCCCGTAATTGCGCCATTCGTAGTTCTTTAACTTTTAGTATTTAAACTAGAATTTGCCAAGTCTTAGTTGACTAATCCCAGATGATCAAATATTAGTTCCTTCAGTGATATTATTTCATCAAGTTGTTCAAGTCAGTATAATTTCCTCTTTTTTCTGCAGTGGCAGATTAGATACGCTAGAGTACGTACTTGATCTTGACGGAATGTCAGAACTTATCTCATCGAAGAACAACGCCGGGCATCTTCCACTACACTACGCTGCGAGAGAAGGCAACAAGAATTGCGTAGAACTTTTGCTCGCTCTAGGAATGAGTCAAGAAGAAGGAGAAGAGGTACATATAAAGCTTTGATTTAACAAAAAAACAATCCAGATGGTATTATTTGCTGTAAAAACCACTGGCGTTAAATATAAAAAAAACAAGGTTAAACCCATATGTATAAATTGCAATGGGCATCCAACATTGTCCCGAATGTGTAATGTAGGGTAGGTTACACCGTGACGTATTCGTTATCGCATGTGTTTTATCGGCGTCTTTTCACTTTGTGAGTGGGCTCTCCAAAGTATGTCAAAATTCCGTTCCCCCCCCCCCCTACACAAGTGAAGGTTTGAAATGTTCTTAAAGGGACTCGGTAACATTGTTCAGATGAGAGATATTGGTGCTATGGTAGTGACTTCAATGCTAGATGTACAATTAAAGATAATCTGAAAATTAGAGTGAAAACGGACAATTATTCATGGTATAAATTGGGAAAAACTGATCTGATCGATTCCTTAATTCTCCCAACTATATTATTACAATTTAATTACATTTTAGGTGAATGTAAATCGTCACAAAGCAATACAATGGCTCTACATTCCATTCCAGACAGTTAAGTGTTGACAGATTTGTTATAGCCTGTTTGATGTATTTTTTTCATGGAAAAACGGTTGGGAAAATTCAAAAATGGTTGGGGGAATTTACTGTTAATCACTGTAAGAGGGTGTCGTACATCGACGCCTTCAAAGAAAACCATAGATATCTTCGTGGTTTGAGAATTTTTTCAGGATTGTTTGCATGTCAGAGGGTTAGTATAGAAGAAGGAATCTAGTAATTAACATTTTATACAAAAATTAAGCAATTTTTTGCATCAACCTTCAACAATGTTACCGAGTCACTTTAACCATTTTCTTAACCCTAATAAGGCCGGGCTATTTGAAGTCTTACTACGGCCGGGGGGGGGGGCATTATGCCCCCCCCCCTAAGATCTCGGCCGTGAAACGGCCGATCTCCGCGAAAATTTGCACCCATGTCAAGTGAAGTGTATAAAACAATATGATAATTTCAATTTTTGGAAAAAAATCCCTCATTTGCATATTTATGGTAATTTATGCAAATAACGTCATAAAATCACATTTTTGCCCATAAATCCTATATTATTCATATTTAAGCATTCTTTTTCACTACATATATTCATTAGACCATTTGGAACAATAATACGACAAAAAAAATTGGAAGAGCCAGCTTATTCCTTATGTTATCTCTTGTTTTGATAATTTCTTATGTATTACATTGTTTTTTTAAACTTATGTATGTTATTGTTTTTTTGTTTTGTTTTCATTTCTTCCTACAATTCAACTATTTTGACTCCCAAAACAACCACCTAAACTTTAAACAAGACCCAATAACCAATGTTTGATCTATTTTTAGGAGCAATGACATTTCCAAATGTTTTGTACACAAATCACAACAATTAGCGATGTTCGGGCCGACATGCAAAGACAAAAGGTCACGTGACCTTGTAACTATTTTTAAAGATGCGCAAGACTCTAAAGAAAAAAGTCAGCGAGCGGCGAGGCGCCATCCATATGCGTTCTCGAACAATCAGAAAAATCGTAGAGGGGGGGGGGGCATAATGGCCCCCCCGGCCTTATTAGTGTTAAAGGGCCACTCCAATAAAGACGGGCTATAAAATGAAGAAGAAAAAACGACATGTAGAATAACTATTGACGGATATTCAAAACATGACAATGATTTTTCTTACAAATCATCAATAATTCTTTAATCTAGCTTTAAAAATGACGACTCATAACGCCCAGAAAAAGCCCAGTTTCGGTGATGACGCATTTGACGTCACTGCAGACGCCTCTCAGGTGAAAAGAGGGGTGATTTAGGAATTAAAATGTCTTTAAAAAGGCAAACTATGATATTAATTTGAAGAAGAAAAAAAGGCATTTATCCGAAAAAATAACATGCACTTGATAATCCTACTACGTTTTTGGCAATTTCGTCATTCCTAATTATCAAATTGTCAAATCGAACATGCTGGCAAGGACGTCAAATGTGTCATCAAGCCAAGTAAACGTATTATCGTTTTTGTTTGAGGGGCGTAGCCCAGAAAGCGTGAAAACTGTTAACAAATTGATGGTTATTATCTTTTTTGGTCAATTTAGAGATTTTCTGAAAAATCAGAGGCGGGAATATTGATAAGTAGAGGTGTATTCATGTTTCGAAAGGCTATGTTAGTGGCCCTTTAAAGAGAAGGAGTATTACAATTTGGAAAATAGGCAAATTATACATCTACATATTGCTGTGAACTTTAACACACTGAGTATTAAAATTACTTTTTAAACCCTAACTATTCTAAATAATAAATTAAATGCGATTTGATAACCTTTCCAGAACCCACTCAAAAAATGAAATGACGGCGCTATTTACATGCGATAAGGTGACGTGACAATATGAAAAGCCTAACATCACACATTCGGGACACAATTTTTAGATATTGTTTAACGTTGTTCATATATTTACCGCCGGTGGTGATATTTCCTTTATTTGTTTACATTTTCAATGAGATACACATAATAAATACTACTTTCTACAAAGGTTAGTTTGATTGTTATGTTATTTTCCGTCACATTTGAGCATAAAATCGGAAGAAATAATCACATATTATGAGGGCAGGTCAGCGTGGACGTGTCTGATCCCGGAGTGCAGATGACATTTCGCATGCTGACCTAAAGACTCTTCTGGAGCAAAATAGGCGACAAATATACATAAATTGTCCAGATATTCTTTACGAAAATGTCTGATTAGGCCGATTAATTGAGATCTTTTAAAAAATTAAGTCGTAGCATCAGATAAAAGGGGAAAGGGGAAACCGAGAGAAGACTTAGATCAGTACGGTTCACGATTCACGGCTAGCTCGAGCGCCGGGCTAGGCTGGCTACGGCAAGCAAGCTGCGCTAGGTGCGATGCAATGTAGGCAGGTTGTACGTACGCGTATAATACGTACGCGTAATTCACAAACAGGCCTACAGTATACTTGAACGCTACATCGATGTTATGGAAGTTATAAAATTGATCTTTAGTCTAGAGATCTCCCCAATCTCCATTTTCGTTGCCGATGTTCTTCCTTCTTCTATCTCCTCAAAACTGAAACCAAGTAAGTTTTCGTCCATATTGGTATTTACAGGGGACTTTTGATGAAGGTAAGCAACGTTGGGTATGAATGGTTACGGTACTGAAGAGTCAATGCAATAAATGTGCATTGCACGCAAACTGCATCGCGCACCGCCGTCAATCTATTTAGCCGAGCGTCCCGTCGTTCATGTTGTGACGTAACTGTAAAATCAGCTGAGTTACGATGTTATCGAGGCCTTGAGTGTGTTGATTTTTCACCAAGTTTAATTAAGTTTTATAATTTTTGCCCGAATTCACAAGATACAAACATGTAATAATTTGACTCAGTGTAATTAATCGATTGCAATTATTCAACTTCAAATTCAGTCAAATTTAACAAAAATGAACCTTCTCTTTAAGTTTTTTTTTTCCAATATTGCAATGAACCTTTTTGTTTAAACCACATGAATTCAACTCTTTTTTTACATAAAAGATCATGTCAATTGTATACTAGTTGTATTTATGTTGCGTTTAAAGGTAATTCATATAATTACTTTTTTTTTCCAGACTTAGAATATTTGTGCAATGTAAAAATTGAATGAACTAACCATAATGATCTCCAGTTTGCTCTGTATTCGCATTTATACTGTTTTTTTGAAAATCGATCGTGTTTCAACTAAAATAAATGAAGACTGTAATAACCTAAAGCAATATCCGATTTCAAAGAATGAAAAAGGAAATATAGATAATTTAAAACTTTACGAGCAATTACAAATAAATTGATCCGTGTTGTGATTATTATTTAGCACATGTTGAAGAAATGGCAAATTAGAACTCCTGACAGAATTCTTGATTGCTTTTTGTCTATAAAAGTCTTTATGTATTATTGTATTTACAGTCTCAGGGAGGTTGGACACCGTTGCACATGTCTGTCAAAGCGGGCCATGTTGAGATCACCAGTATTCTAAAAGAATACGGTTACGACATTCATGCAGAAACTGAAAATGGAAATGCCCCTATTCATATAGCGGCCGAATGGTAAGGCCACAGATTAAATACATTAATTCATTCCATCAGTCAATTAAATTTGTTTTTGTTGTTGTTTTCATGTATGAATGATCAATAGCAAAAGGAAAGGTTTGGGTATTTAAATATTTGTTATGTATTTATTAATTAATTGTATATATTTATTTATGTATATATTTATATTGATATCATATTCATTATTTGTGTTGTATTTATTTATTTATTCATTTATTTTCATTAATATTAATATTATCATTAAATTTTGTTTAGTTTGCGTGTGTGTTTGTTTATGTGTGGGATTTTTGTGGGGAGGGGGGCACTTTTCATCCCTCCGTCCACCAAAAGCCACCCCTCCCCTTAAATGATTCATGAACAAACTAATTATTATCATTTCACTCCAAAATACGGCCTGTTCAAATATAGAAAATAGTTTTTGCAATGTTTGCCATTTCCATGCTTTGGGTGCTGTAAGGGAGGACAGAAAGAGAGAGAGAGAGAGAGAGAGAGAGAAAGAGAAAAAATAGAAATGAGGAGAAAAAATAGAAATGAGAAGAAAAAGAAGAAGAAGAAGAAGAAGAAGAAGTTGCAGTAGCAGTAGTAGTAGTAATAGTAGTGGTAGTAAGGTATTGCTTTTATAATGAGGAGCATGGGCAGAAGAAGCAAAAGAAGGGGGTATATAAAGAGGGAAAAGAAGAAAAAATAGAAGGAGGAGGTAGAATAAGTGAATGAGGAAGAGGAGGAGGAGAATAGTTAGATGAAGCTTATATCATTGTCGCAATATTGGGGTGTCAGAACCTGACGGATGAATCCATTTTTGATTAGCCATTGCAAAACAGATGTTTGCCTTTATAGTAAAGATGTGACTGTTGAAAGTAAAGCCTGCTATGAATATAACAATACAAACATGTACACCATTATTGATGAATCGTTTAATTAAATTGAATAATGAAGTTTTCGATCTTTGTTATGTTTCATACTTTAACAGTAATCGGAAGGAAATACTACAATATCTCATTGAAAATGGCGTCTCTGTAGACTCGACAAACAAAATGGGATACACGGCTCTCCTTTTGGCCAGCTCAAATGGGCATCCGGGATGCATCGACGTTCTTTTGCAAAATGGAGCAGATGTTAACAAACAGGTGGGATATCTTTGTAATCTTTTTTTTAAAACCTATTTTTCATCCTACAGTGCAGAGTATTAATTAATTAATTAAGCCATCAACGCCATACCATGACAAAAATATTAAAATATTAAGGATACCAAATGTAGTTTATTTTATTTGTTCTGATGCACGTATGAACGAATATATATATTTTTTGCTAAACAATTTGGTGTCCTCTTAACGTTTTTTATGTTGTATTTTTCATAGAAGGCCCTTTTTGTGTATATATATATCTCTCTTTATACACTGTCGCTCATAAAGGTGGAATATTTGTTTTTATCCCAATTCATGGAATTATTTTAAAAATAATTTTAAAATACTAGATCTAGATAATAGTATACATTCTCAGATTTTATTGAATAATAATTTGCCAATGTGTGTTTTGCGTGACTGCTAAAGCATGTATATGCTACTATGCTTATCAACTAGGGGAGCTATGCCCTTAAGTCATAAATGACAGTAATGAGGATTAATGCCCCACAAAAGGGCACTAATATAGCACATCGACACGGTGTTGATCCTGGGGCCTCACATTTACGAGGCCATTGCTCTGTCACTGAACCATGACTGTACGCAGCGGGGGCTAGGGTAGGGGGCAGTTTCCATAAATTAACAAAAAACAGAAAATGCAATAAATTTTCAATAATTTATTGCATTCTACCCCGGTCCCAAACATAACAAAAATCCTCTGGATGGCCATGCATTATGGCTCAAGGCATGGGCACACAGAAGATTTTTTTATTGTGGGGATGAAATAACAGAAGTTTAATGCTTTAAATCCAACTGTTTTCATGAATTAGACGTACGCAAGGTCTTTATCAAGATCACGTAATAAAGACATTGGGTACGTCGAACATTTGTGACGTAATACAAAGCTACCTTTTTTGTAAACAATGTAAACAACATCATAAACTAAGTCTCAATTTCAAGTTTAGCTCTAATGAATAGGCCTCAGCGTAAAGGGTAAGTGACACATTAGATTTTAAATGCTTTCAAATACTTTGTGTTTATCTTTTTTACGTTTGTATTATTCGATGTGATGTACGATTTGGCGAACCAACCCAGATGCCCTGGACCCATAGTAAAGACACCGAACCGCTGTAATTTGGTTATATACACACTGTAGCTGTCAAGGTTCAATCTGCAATTTAATAAAAGGATAAACAATAATAAGTCAACTTGCATAAACTGACATGAAAATAACATATGTATCAAATTAAATATACCCTGACAATCCTAATAACTATCTGTTATCATAACAAAGGAAATCAAACAATACCTTCTTCACTATAAATCTAGTGACTAAATACATGCAACAATTAATGACTCACCGACGGTGACTTTGTCATTCTTCAAGGTCATATCATTATACTACTACGTACATGTACATTAAGACGCACTACCGTGCACGACAATTACGTAACCTACATACACGTGTACAATCTTTCACTTGAACGATTCATTCATGTCATATTTCATCATCTCAAATTAGTGTCATAAACATCATAATTCATTAAGCTATCTAGCTGTAAAGACAATATAACTCATAAACTTCAAGATAACATATTCATTTCTACTTACATCATTGGGCTTGTATCACAACATTAAACGAAAACTTAGGCAACTCTGGGAGGCAACTATCCCATGACGTGGAAAATCAGTAACACACAAAATCCAGTACGCCCTCAAGCGACCTAATCCATACACTATCTACAAAGCGACGCCTGTGACATCACAAGCATCGGCTTCAAGCAAAACGTCATCCTGTACTCCGCATTCGAGTACGATTGAAATACAGTCGAAACTTTACTAGTGACTACCTCTCTGTAAATTCCACCTGTCTGTATAGTTTGTATGTATTGTATTTCCATCAGGAGAAGGCGTGTGTGTTGTATATTGAAAAGCTATTTAGAAAATAAATATATCTACAATGTCATTTTTGTGTTCTCTGGTGGCCTCATTGCAGCAAAATTGCTATTGCATGCACCTTCTAAAGCGACAAGTTGTAATTATGATTTGTCATTTCATTTCGTGGTTCTATTCTCTCGCTAGTCAAACCATAATTCAACCCCGCTACTCTTAGCTGCCGAGTACGGCCACCAATCCTGTGTTGAAAAGCTGGTAGCGCATGGAGCAGATCCCACTAAGCGGGATAATGACGGGGATTCTCTCGTTCACGTTGCATCATCAGGGTAAGCAAAAGATGATTCTGTCATTTTCTGCCTTTACTCAAATTAAATTCCACCCTGATATCACTTTCGTTGGCTTCAATACATGCAACGATCTATTGATGGCATAATATCTTTGTATTGTAATTGCTGATGTCCTAGCTGTTGAAGTAGTTGATGCTCAAGTCTAAGTTCCTCAAGTAGTAGTTGCTCAAGTTTTAGTTTCAAAAGAAGTTAATACTTAAATGCGAAGTTGACATCCCTAGTTCTCCACTGCGTAGTTCTTCAGGTCTGTTTTACTAGTTTCAAAACTATTAGTTGCCAAGTCCTAGTTGCTCGAGTAGTAGTTTGTTCAAGTGGTCTGAGTTTGTGTAATTGGGTTTTTACATACGTGTATCAATCAGATATGAATATTTACGTCTGGGGACCGACCTTTAACGTCACCATCGAAAAGACATGACTCAGTTAGTTTCGAACCGGCGTCCTCTTCCATTTTAAGCTCGATTACAGGTTCTTGTAGTTCATAAAGTAGTCGTTCTTCAAGTCCTTGTTCCTCAGAAGTTGCTCAAGTAGCAGGTGCTCAAGTAGTAAAAGTTGATATAGTTCTTGTTTCTTAAGTATAGTAGTTGAGTAATCCCTTTTTGACTGCCCTAATTGCCCGGGCCTTGGATCACCTAGTCGTTGTGTATTAATTAATACTTGCTCAACTCCTAGCAACTGGAGTAGTAGTTCCGCGTTTCCTAGTTTCACAAGTAGTAGTTAGTCCTCAAGTCCTAGATTCTAAATAATACGTTCCTCAACTACTATTTCTTGCTCAAGTTGTTCAAATCCACATTATGTTCCTCTTCTCTACAGAGGCAGGTTAGAAACGTTAAAGTACGTACTAGATATTGAAGGAATGTCAGAACTCATCTCATTTAAGAACAAAGCAGGGCATCTCCCTCTGCACTGTGCTGCAAGAAATGGCAACTTGGATTGCGTCGAACATTTGCTCGAACTAGGAGTGAGTCGAGAAGAGGGAGAAGAGGTAAATATAAAGTTTCAATTTAACCACTTCCGAACCAGATGGTATGTTTTGCCGTATAAAGTGCTGCACCAACGATTGTATTGTATAATATGATACCATTTCGACAGGACGAAATGTCACTTAAAGTCAATACCAGAAATAGGATGTATCATTTCCTCAGAAATGAGTGTAGCATTTGTTAAAACTAACCTTTTAATTTGTTGTATCTAATGGTGTATCGAAAGTTATATACGAAGTTGTATCTAAAGAGCTGCACAAAAAAATTGCGTTTAATTTGTTGTATCTAATGGTGTATCTAAAGTTGTATCTAAAGTTGTATATAAAGTGCTACGCAAACAATTGTACTGTCGGTGTGTTGGAACTTCTCAATTGTTATATCTGATGGTGTATCTAAAGTTATATTCAAAGTTGTATCTAATGTTGTATCTGAAGTTGTATCTAAAAAGCTGCACAAACAATTGTATTGCCTAATACAATACAATTTAGACCGGACGAAATGTAACTTGAAGTTAATAACCGAAGATGGACATATCATTTTTTCAGAAATGCGTGTAGTATGTGTTGGAACTAACCTCGTTATATGTTGTATACAATAGGGCAGAGGGACACGTATACTGTGCCTCAGGTGGAGGGAGGCAATACAACGCAAAATAGAGGGGAGCAAAAGGAAGGGAAAACAAAATATACAAAATATTTATAAGAGTGAAAAAAGATTCAAATGGTCAAACGTTTAGAATGATACGCACATTAGTTTGATTGGTAAATTGCAATAAAAATTAGATATTGGTCACCTAGCTCCTTCACACATGCTGCTTCTGGATCTTGTCATTTCGCGTTTCATGATAGGATATAGCTTGAAATAGCGTTGTTAAAACGTTCCAAAACAGAATGAGAGAGAGAGAGAGAGAGAGACAACAAATATCATTGTTTTAATTCCTGTTATCTTAGATTACAAGACGATGACGTGGATCTTAATCAAATAATTGGTTGAAAGCGTACACGTGATCAGACACTTATTTTGCTTAACGCGTAATTTGGATACAAATTAGTAAAATCATGTTATAAAACATCATTTTTTAAAAGAAATAAAACATAATACTTATTAACAAAATAATTCACACCAATTTGCATGAGCGTTACTAAAAATTACTCACACTTGGTACCTTCAAAACAGTCCAAACACCCTCGGGTATTACGCCTCGGACGTGTTACACTGTTCCAAAGGTATTTGGTGTGAGTACTTCGTAATTATGCCCTCACTGCTGTGTATAACTTTCATATTAATCAGCCGATTTAAAAGTATTGCCCCCCCCCCCCCAATTTACGATAAAGCGTATGAAATTGCATTCGAAAATGTTCAAAATAAGACAGGAAACGTAATTTGTGGTTGTCTTATTTAAACCCATGACAACATGTTTCATTGCCTTCTGTTAATTTTGCAACCCATTCGAGGGAGTAGTAAAATCGTAACCAATGTTAACAAATTGAAATGCTACCTCTCGATTGTTGTGCTCCATTGTCGTTTTGTTTCTTTTATTTTCCGGATTAAGCGTTTGAAAAATGCTTTTGTTGAGGCTTAAAATATCTAAAATATACTTTTCGGTCGCTCTGCTTCGTGTGAAGTTGCATAGAAAAAAAAAAGTGGGCGAGGGATGCAGTTGCAGTGTTTGACCGGTCACCATGATCCATAGATACAACACTGTTTAGGACTACACCAAATAAAGGAAGTGTATATATTAAACTGTCTTCTAATCTTTGGACGATTTAGATTATCACCCTGAAATCTGATTTCATGGGTTTTGCCACATCAACATCGTACATTTCCTTTGTATTTTTTCTTCTTCATGCATTAACTGAACCAACTGCAGAGCTGCTCCTTCCTTGAGGAACAAGACTGTCAGGGAAAAACGCCACTGCATCTGGCCGTAGAAGGTGGATTTTCCCCCGTTATTGAGGCCTTGATCAAAGCCGGAGCAGACTTGAACATCCGAACCAATGACGGAAAAACATGTCTGCATATGGTTGTAACACTGTGGGGTGGACCGGAAAATCCTGACAAGAAGGTCCAAACCACCAATGGTTTCGAGCCGGTAAGACATTTTCCAACTAGTTATACAAAAAAGAAATATATAAACCGAAAATCTAGGATTAAAGGATTTCATTTGATAATGCTGTATGATAAACTTATTTTGTCATTCCCCTTTATTTTAATGTAAAAATCACATCAACAATGTTTTTGCTGTAATTTTATTTTGTTTCCATTTTCTTTTTTACGCCAATTATTTAAGGTATTGTGCAGCAAGCACATGCTCATAGTTGAAATAGGGAATGAATCAAATGAAATTTATTTGTGAATGTTTAATGTTTTGTTTAAAATATTTAACTAATATCAACGAATACTCTCTTAATTTGTTGATCAAAAGTCTACAACCCCCCCCCCCAAAAAAAAAAGGATTAGTAAAATACATCTAAGGTATAGACCAGTTTTGGAAACGCCCCCTCTCAGCAAATTAAATGAAAGTTCTTATTATCAAACATGTGTATTAATATGTTTCAACTAGTACGTGATGATACACATTTGGTAAATTATCTTATCGATCCGCTTGGATAGATATCGCGTAGTCCCATATACATCATTCTGTGTACAGTGCTTATAACTTTACCAAGACTGGGCAAAATTTCTTATCATTTTGATGATTCCAGAAACTTGTAGTACACACCAATACTTATATGCTAGATCGATTCCACAACGTTTATTTTACCATGCAATCGCATGACCAGAACTGGTCTATACCTTTAAGGATACGTAAATAAAATAATGTAAATGTACGTAACTGTGTGTAAATGAAATTGTACCTATTTAAACTGGAAAACCATCTAACATGTTTTTGTAAGTTTAGGTTGTATCAAGATATCCCGAGTACGAGCCGCTCAGCGAGAACGAGAAACTTCTTCTCTACCTCCTCGACAAGGGAGCCATATGTACAACGTTCGACGCGAGTGGTGACACACCAATACACCTCACTAACACACATAGACTCTGGCAGCTAGTTGTATCAGGGTAACTACTTTAAAGGTGTACCACTTATACCTTTAACACAGTCCTACTTGTAGCTACTTGATCTCTCTATATAGAAAACTTCTCCAATCGGTGCATATTGTTCACCCATGTCTTATGTTATATGAGAGCTGAGTTGATGAGATAGCCACCTGTGAATGGCCTCGCTGTTTGGTCTAATTCCTTCTGGCCAAACTAGTACAGATGAGCGTTAAAGACCATATCCGATGAAAATACTAATTTTTTTTATCAATGGAAAGCTGAATGAACATAATAATACAACAATCAAGGAATTCAAAATATTTTTCCTATCGATATTGCACAAAAGCAAGCTAAACCCTTATTTTCCGCACCTCTCCAAATGACAGGTCAACAGGGGTCTAATTTGCCTAAGTTACAGTGACGACATACCATGTGCACCTGATCGGTACACCTATTTAGCTGAGGCGATGAGCCGTGCTTAAATAATGCAAAGTCATTGTGAATATGCGTATTCCACTTACAATGATGTCACCAAATTCGATAGCTAGTGTTTAGGTCGACAACTCCTAATTTTCAAAGCTTTAGATTTCGAGTTTTCAGAAAGTTTGACAGGCACTAAAGTAGCAATTATTTGATATTATTAATCTATAGCTTGTAAGCTTTCAGTTCGATATATAATTCCTCTATTTCATTTTCACTTCTTTAACAAAATGTATATAACTGAATGTATAAAAGAAGCTCGAGCACCCCCCCCCCCAGTGTATTTTGTTCAAACTTAATCTATGACGGTCAATATCATATATCAGATACTGACCGCCATTGATTTGAATAACAAATTGTATTAATATCCACAACATAAACATACGTATTCATTTACTTTCAATTTAAATATTAATCAAAATTCGTTTATTCATTGGTATTTTTCTCTCTTTTTTCAAACAGAATACCGGAAGAGGAGCGCAACGCTCTATTGGATGGTAATTTATTTTTAATATGTAAATGTCTTCAAAATTGTTATCAGTCCGTTTTACAATATTAACATGATATTAAGAATGCTAGGGATGCTCGGCAAACAATAATGTATCACTACATAAAATATACTAATTTCCCAGAAATTTGAAATGAATGATTGTCAAATATATAACGTGCTTATGAATTTTCGGGCTTAAATGCTGCAATAGGGGTGCTTTAGTGAAAAGGCTAGTGAGATTTTCCGAGTTGTTCTAGCAGCACTTTCACTTGGTCAGCTCTGTCTTCGCCGGTGTCGTTAAAGTTAGGTCCCTAGTCGTAACAAATAATACCCGATTGATATACACACTCTCTCTCACACACACGCACCCACACACACACACACACACACGCGCACTTGTGTGTTTTGGGTATTAGGTGTGTGTAAACTGTATATTTGTACAGATTTAAGTTACAATTACATTTCAATGTGTTTATTGTCAGCTGAAACAAACTCGACAAACAGTCCAGGGTATAGTAAAGGTGTTGGGGACTGGTGTGTAAGTGGTTGGACTGCAGATCACACATTTCTGGTTTCAAATCCAAACTCGGCCAATCGTCAGTTAGATAAACGTAAATCTATAGTTGTCCACTCTCCACGTATGTTAATGGGTACCTTATATTCTTTAGCGCTAGTTACTTTGGCGATTCGGCTTAAATGTACCTAGTAAGGTAAGAAATGTGGATTATAGGGTCCCTATGCCATTCGCAACTACAATGACAAGCAATGACCGCATCTTAAATAATATTATCATTTGTAAAAATGTTGTATTTCATTTCAGAATTGGATGTTGAGTCAAAAAGGATAAAGCGGACAGTGCAACAAGTTATTGGTCCGGAAGGGGGCGAAATACATCTCAGTCGGTATGGCGTCCACTTGACTGTACCAGCAGGTGCACTTGACAAAGACCAAGATATATCTATGAGACTACTCGAAACTTGTCCAGTTCCGGGCATCCAAGGCGAAGAGATGATGGCAAGTTTTGGCGTTGAACTCAAACCTGGGGGCTTAAAGTTTAAGCTTCCTGTTCAATTACAACTGCCCCATTGTGCCAGCGTTGTCAACACGGATGTAAATGTAATACTTTACCATTGTAGAGGTATGTTTATTCTTACGTTCCTTCCCGTGAATGGCTACCATACTATTTTATGATATAGAAAGGAAACAAAAGAAGAAATTGAATAGAATAGTCCAATGTTTTTTTTTAAACTGAAATATGCATATAGATTATTACACACTAATACACATTCTGTCGTCAATGTGGCAGAAATCATAGTTTGAAAATGCACCCAAAGACAATACCTAAGTATGGTGTCAATGGCTGTATACATAGATCTAAATAATTAAATATTGGAGAAAACTTTTTCCCCTCGTACAAAAAACAATGAATCGGCAAATTGTGGTCCAGAATTGTCAAATGTTCAAACAAACTGTTCTGGACGAATCAGAAAGGAAAACAGTTAATCAGCTGGAGCAAATCACACTCTCCTCCGCACGGTCTACGATGACTTCGCGAACTCACATGCTCACACTTTGACCTCTGAATTTGATGTCACTGGTGAACTTTGTATTTGAGTAATGATTCATTGAAAGCGATAAATATAAAGAATGGTTCGTGTGATTTGTCAAATACATTCGTAACAGGATAAACGTCGGGTTAGAGTTACAATTTAATTCGTCATATGAGACCACGTGTGACTTCTATACAAGACCACGGACGGTGAGGAGGAGCCTCACTTAGTAGGAGAAGAAGAAGCGGGATAAATTGATAGTGTGGTTTGTTCAAGCTGATCGCGTACCACCAACAATTTGGCGTGTACTGTGAGGTTAATTAATTCTCTAATTAACGAGAGGTTAGGCGGTGTCACACAGAAAAATCCCGACCCATATTGAATAAACCAAATTTTAGAAACCCATTTTTGTTCCATTTACGTCAGTGACAGACTGGTGGCAGATAGGCTACGAAAAATCCGGATGACTAAAATCCGGATTTTTGATGGGCCACTGCGCATGCGCCGTTAGGGTAGATAAGCATTGTGACATCACACGTTCAATCAAAAGTAATGCGCAATTAACGCGAATTAACAATTCATTTGCGAAAAGTTTGGAGGGATAGATATTCTTCCTGACAAGATTGATGCAGCTGCGTATCAAAAGGGTATAGATGTATATCTCAGGCTTTTTACATTACTGTATGCAGACGATACAATAGTTCTTGCAAAAACTGAAAGTGATCTTCAGCTTGCTCTTGATGCAGTAATATCCGATTACTGTAAAAAATGGTTTCTTCAAGTTAACACAGCTAAAACCAAAGTTGTTGTATTTTATCGTGGTAAAGTTCGAACAATTCCTATATTTAAATTTGATCATGATATTGTAGAAGTTGTTGATGAATACGTCTATCTTGGAACTACTTTTAACTACAACAACAAATTTCGTAAAGCACAAATTAAGCAACTTAATCAAGCTAGACGAGCAATGTATAGTCTATTATCTAAAACTTACCAACTGCACTTACCTATTGATATCCTCTTGGAATTATTTGATCAACTTGTGTTGCCTATTCTGCTCTATGGAAGTGAGATATGGGGATTTGAAGTGCTACATGATCTTGAAATTTTCTACATGAAATTTTGTAAGCAAGCCCTTTCTGTCAACAAAACAACTGCAAATTGTGTGGTACTTGGTGAATTGGGGAGGCTTAAACTTGAGAAATATATCGAAAACAGAATGATAAACTTCTGGTGTAGGATTGTACATAGTGGACAGGATACATTTTCTGGTAAGGTGTATATTATCTTAAAATTACTCTTTGAGAAGAATATATATCAGGCACCTTGGTTTAAAAAAATCAAGCTGACTCCGGACAATATGGGGATGTCTAATTTATGGGAAATTTGTGAAAATACTAGCTGTGAGTGGGTCAAACAACTGTGGAACGTCGATTGAGAGATTCTCATGCTCAGTATTGGTCTGCTTGTATGTACGATAATTCGCATTGTGTTAACTATCGAATCTTTAAACATTCTTTATGTTTCGAAAGATACTTAATCGATCTCATTAAAAGAGATCGGACAATATTAAGTCGTTTTCGCTGTGGCAATCATTACCTGCCGATTGTAACTGGTAGATATTCAAATACTCCAAGGGAAATGAGGCTATGTACGCTGTGCAATTTGCAATCGCTTGGAGATTAATTTCATTGCTTGTTTGTATGCCCTACCTTTCGTTCAGACAGAAAATTGTTCATCGATAAATATTTTATTGAAAGACCAAATACACTGAAAATGGATCAGCTTTTTAACTCCAATAATGTACAAACACGTTTAAACTTAGTAAAATTCTGTCGAAAAATAATGCTTCGTTTTCATTAATTCAAGTATGTGCAAAAAACATGTTATGAGTTCAATATTAACTTTATTTTTCTCTTTTTTCTGTTTTATCAATTTATTAAATTGATATCAAGAATATGTTCAGTAATTCATTAATTCAGATATCAATTTACTGGTGCCAGTAAATTTCTTTTTCAAATGCTTCCATTAATTTCTTTATTAATTATCGTTTTAATTAATCTCATCGTTTTGTTTTTGATTAAAATTATTATTATCATCATCAATATTGTTATTATCATTATCATCATAATTTTTCTCACTATTGTCGATAGTGTTATTTTGTATGGATTAACATTAATTGTATTTGTATTGTATATTTCACAGTGTTAAATTGACAAATTCAAATTGTTTGTAAACTTCTCCAATACCTCAACGTGGGTGACATGAGAATAAGTTGTCATTGTCATTGCGTCTCATTAAATGCGGGCTAATATAATTGTGCGCAGTTTATGATAGCGTGTTTAAAACCATATGCCAGCCAATCATTAAGTCAAAAGTTGACCTTACACTGGCCTTAACATTCAGACCGCAGCGTGCGCGATAATGAGGCTGTACGCTGATTATTATCCAGCGTCTCTTTGGTGATCTCGTACATCCACGTGTGCTGAAATTAACGAGATTTTTCGTGATATTTGTAAGGGTGTAAATGCAGCTGCTTTTTGGGTCGATAGCTTCAGTCAGCATGGCAGCGCGCAACGGTAATTACTCTCGAAATTTTCAGCTTCAGTTTGATATGAAACTTGCCATATTTCACCATTTTGAAACAATCCAAGGCGAAACGTTCATACCACACCAGACTCATCGAGGACTGCGGCGATGATCACAACAAACTCTACAATGTCGCCAATCGACTCTTGAACCGCAAACAGTCTTCTCCATTGCCGTCATATGTTGATGGCAATTCCATGGCTGAAACGTTTATTAAGTTCTTCTGTTTAAAAGTTTAAAACATCCGAGATAGTCTTAATCCAAATGTTATACCACTCGAACCTGTCACCTCCTCCATACTAAGGACCTTTCAACATACCACCGCAGATGAAATTATTTCCCTTCTTTGTAAATTGCCCCCTAAACTAATCTTGTCCATTAGATCCAGTTCCTACCATGCTTTTAAAAGATTGCGCTCTGATATTTGCCCCGATTATTTCTCACATTGATAATCTTAGTAGGAATCAAGCCACTGTACCCTCAGTCTTAAAAACAGCACTTATACGCCCTTTGTTGAAAAAACCCTATTTGGACCATGAATCCCTGAAAAATCACCGTCCTGTGTGTAATCTGCCATTTTAGTTTAAAATTCTAGAGAGAGTCGTGTTCTCTAGACTCTCAGATTATTTGCTGGAACACAAATTATTCGACCCTTCACAGTCAGCTTACCGCCCTCATCATAGTGTTGAGACCCTTCTCATCAATGTTTCAAGCTCAATCTTACGAGAAATTGACTCCGGATCTGTCACTGCCATGGTCCTTTTAGATCTGTCCTCAGCCTTCGACACCGTAGACCACAAAATACTTGTAAATACTCTTACAAGTCTGGGTATCCAGGACCAGGCTTTCAAATGGTTTGAATCATATCTTTCGTGCCATTCACAGTCTGTCCTTTTAAATGGTTTCACATCCTCCCCCAGGCCACTTGGCTGTGGAGTACCCCAAGGCTATGTGGGCGGGTCCACCTTATTTTCAATATATCTAACTGGTCTCAGAAATGTTTTTCAACGTCACTCTGTTAAATATCATTTATATGCAGATGACATACACATTTTTGTTTCTTTACGGCCCCATCGAATTCGAGCTTCCCAAACCTTGCAAAATTTGGAAAATTGCATCGCTGATATTGACGCCTGGATGAAGTCACATTTTCTGCTATTAAATCATAGTAAATGCGAATTTATTCCTTTCGGCTCAAAATCTCAGTTCAATAAATTAAATATAGACTCAATGTCTATTTCCGGTAACACCATTCCCTTATCAAATTCATGTCGCGATCTTGGCGTCATTCTTGATTCTCAAAAGTCTATGTCCAAACAAATCACAAGCATTTCCAGATCAGTTCGCTATCAATTGCGCAATATTGGCTTCATATTGAAATATCTGACTCGTTCGGCAACAGAGAAACTTGTCCACTCACTTATTTCTTCACGTTTGGATTTCGCTTATTTAAACCCAATAAACAAAATCACGTGAAAATCACGTCAATATCAAGGTATCGACTTGAGGAGAGTTACGTTCTTCAAACACCGTACATTTACGTAAATGTGTTAATACGTTTATTGCATTAGGTAACTTAAAACACACGTACACTAAATCACGCAATTGTCACTGCAATATCACCATTATAATAACGTGATTATCCCTACCTTGGAGACCATGGTTTGTAAACCTAATACTCCCGTGTTTGTTTGGTTATGAAATTACATCTTCATACACGAAATTATCGCGTCACAGAAACACGTGAAGCGTTAATGATAGTTTTAGTCAAAATATCAGCGTGAAATTCACGTGAATATTACGAGGCTGACTTGAGATGAATCATGTTCTTCATTCACGTGAAATTAACGTCGAAGAGGAAGTATATTACTGTAACCCGCGTTCAACCCAATAATTACGCAAATTTTACACAATAAATGAACCAAAATAATGACGTTCTCATCCCGTTTCTGAACATCGTGTCTTGGATCT